TCAATTCTTCTTCTGCCTTCGTTTTTTTAATATCCAACGTTTGCGTGCTTATGAGGTGAATGAAAAGACCATAGCTTGGGTCAGACGCACCTTAGTCCTCAAAGTGACATCTTTGCTTTTTAACACTTGAAAAAGGTCATTTGCAGCAGATTTGCCCAATGTAATATGTGTACATCTTGCTAAATTCATATGTAGGTACTCTACTGATTTTGTTGCTATTATAAATTTTTTATAATAATACGAAGTATTTTTATACCTGCTTTCTGTTTGGTGTAGAGAAAGTAAACTGAATTTGCACATTGATATTCTATCCAGCCATGTTGCCAGCTTCCCCTTGCCAGATTTCTAGAAATATGCCCATATATTCTTTCGGCTTCCTATACAGACAAGAATATCCTTCGCAAACAACAGTGTCATTTCCTCCTTTCTTTCTCGTATCTCACTGCCGTGGCTATGACCAACACAATACGAAACAGAAGTGGTGATAATGGCCATCCTTGTTTCACTCCTGGTTCTGAAGTGTACGCTTCCAATGTTTTCCTACTTGGAAGGATGCTTTTTGTAGTTTTTTGTTTGTTGTTGTTAGGTGCCATTGAGTCAGTTCCAACTCATAGCGACCCTACGTACAACAGAACGAAACGCTGCCTAGTCCCGTGCCATCCTCACAATCCTTGTGTGATGGTTTAGATCATGCATCAACTTGGCTGGGTCATGATTCTCAGTGTTTTGGCAGTAGGATAAGGTTGTGATCACTCCCCTGTTGAGATTTCATATGTCACCACCCCATGATGGGATCTGCTGTGAGCCGGCCATCAGTTGAAAGGAAGTTTCCTGGGGCGTGTGGCCTGCATCAAATACAGACAGACATTCTGGCAAAGGCTGTGGACTTTTGCTCGTTCTGGATTCTGCAGCTGGCTCCTGTTCATCTGACCTTCGGTTCTTGGGACTTGAGCTAGCAGCTTACCTGCGGTGTTACCTGCCGATCTTGGAATTCGTCTATCTTTCAAGCCTGTAGGCAAGAGCCCTGCTCTCTAACCTGCCGATCTTGGGATTCGTCTATCTTTCAAGCCTGTAGGCAAGAGCCCTGCTCTCTAACCTGCCAATCTTGGGTTCACCAGCCCCTGCAGCTACGTGAATCAGGAGAAGCCTCTATCGTGACCCATGGGCTTGGGACATTCCAGCTTCTACAACCGTGTGAGTCATTTCCTTGGTATTAATCTCTCACTATATATGTATATTTATACACTTTACTGGTTTTGCTTCTCTGGAGAACCTAGCCTAAGACACCTTGTTATGCTTGAGCCCATTGTTGCAGCCACTGCTGTCATTCCACCTCACTGAGTGTCTTCCTCTTTTTCGCTGACCCTCTACTTTACCAAGCACGATGTCCTTCTCCAGGGACTGTCCTTCCTGATAAACATGTCCAAAGTATATGAGATGAAGTCCCACCATTCTCACTTCCAAGAAGCACTCTGGCTGTACTTCTTCCAAGACAGATTTGTTTGCTCTTTTGGAAGTATATAGTATATTCAATATTCTTCGCCACCACCATAATTCAAAGGCATCGATCCTTCTTCAGTCTTCCTTATTCATCGTCCAGCTTTCACATACATAGGAAGCGATTGAAAACACCATGGCTTGGGTCAGGCGCACATTAGTCCTCAAAGGAACCTCTTTGCTTTTAAACACTTTAAAGAGGTCTTTTGCAGATTTGCCCAACACAATACTTCATTTGATTTCCTGACTGCTGCTTTCCTGGGTGTTGACTGTGGATCCAAGTAAAATTAAATCCTTGACAACTTCAATATTTTCTCTGTTACGCGTTCCATTTCTGACGACTTCTAATTTTCCCAGTTTCATAGTTCATACATTCCACGTTCCAATTACTAATTATTAATCTTAGACTGCAGAAGTTGGTAAAAATCTTCATTCCCAGCATGGCAGACCACATGACTGTCCGATTTAAAATGGCCAATACCAGCCCACTTCAGCTCACTAATGCCTAGGATATCAATCTTCAAGCGTTCCATTTCATTTCTGACACTTCCAATTTTCCTAGATTCATACTTTGTACGTTCCATGTTCTGATTATTAACAGATGTTTGCAGTTGTTTCTTCTCATTTTGAGTTGTGCTGGATCAGCAAATAAGGTCTCAAAAGCTCTACTCCATCCACATCATTAAGGTCGACTCTACTTTGAGGAGACAGCTCCTCCCCCGTCGTATTTTCAGTGCGTTCCAACCTGAGGGGCTCATCTTCCGGCACTATATCAGACAATGTTCCACGGCTATTCATTAGGTTTTCAGCAGCCATTTTTTTTAAGAAGTAGATTGCCAAGTCCTTCTTCTTAGTACATCTTAGTCTGGAAGCTCCCCTAAAACCCGTCCACCATGGGTGACCTGTTGGTATCTGAAATACCAGTGGCATAGATGCCAGCATCACAGCAACATGCAAGCCACCACAGAATGACAAACTGACAGACCCTTTATCAGGTTAAGGAAACTCCCTTCTATGGCTACTTCGCTGTAAGTATTTTATCACAAATTTTTCTGGCATCTCTTCTCAGGTGACCTTTCCCCTTTAATCTATTAATATAACAATAGTTATTAATTTGTTGTTAAGTACCATCGAGTCCACTTTGACTCATAGTGACCCCATGTGACAGAGCAGAACTATATCATTGTGAAGATGGTGCAGGACCGGGCAATGTTATGTTCTGTTGTACAGGGGGGTCTCCGTGAGTCACAGCCGACTCAACAGCCACTCACTACAACAGTCAGAACGCTAGCAAACCAGTAGGGTTTTCTTAACTGTAATCTTTACAGGAGCAGATCGCCACCAGGTCTTTCTCCTGTGGAGCTGCTGGACGGGTTCGAACCGCTGACCTTTCAGTTAGCAGCCAAGTGCTTAACTGTTGCGCCACCAGAGGTCCTTCAGTTAATTAACGCCACAAAATTAGTATGAGTTCCATAGCGCACTTACTGTGTGCCAAGTAGGAGTCTGAGCAGTCTACACTCACAAGAAGCCCACGAGGCAGATGGTGTTACTTCCCAGCGGAGGAGCAGGAAGCACAAAGGCTAAGTGACACACGCTCAAGGACTCCGGGCTCGTAAGTGCAGAACCGGAATGTCAAGCCTGAAGGCCAGGCTCCAGTCTGTGCTCTTCACCACTGCGCTGGGCGCTTTCAACTTCCGCTCAGATGTTTTCTGATATCAGAACGCCCTTGCGTCTCTTTTACACGACTGCTGAATCCAACTTGCCACTGTTGTCGCTGTTAGTTGCCGTCAAGTCGGCCCCATCTCATGTCGACCCCACGTACAACAGAACGAAACGTTGCCCGGTCCTGCGCCGTCTTCATGACCGTTGATGTGCTCGAGGCCACTGCTGTAGCCACTGTGTATTCTGAGTGCCCTCCAACCTACGGGGCTCATCTTCCAGCACTGTATCAGACAATATGCCCTTGTGCTCCACAGGGTTTTCACTGGCTAATTTTCTTAGATTGCCAGACCTTTCTTCCTAGTCTTAGTCTGGAAACTCCACTGAAACCTGTCCACCATGGGTGACCCTGTTGGTATTTGAAATACCAGTGGCATAGCTTCCAGAGTACAAAAAACTGACAGACGAGTGGTGGAGTGTTGTGTCTAGAATTCTTCTATCTATATTCGTGAATAAGCTAAAACTCTAATTTTCCTTTCTCATGTTGTCCTTGTTTAATTTTGTTATCCAAGCTATAAGAAGCGTACAGAATGAACTGGGGAGTATTCTCTCCTCTTCCAGCCTCTAGAAGAGCTTGTGAAGGATTGGAACAACTTGTTTGCTAAAAGTGTCACAAAACTCACCTGAAAAAGCACTTCAGCCTGGTGTTTTCTTTAAGGGAAGATTTTTAATCACTGCTTCAATTTCTTTCATAGTTAAATGACTATTCATTTTCTATTTTCTTCAGTGTTTTTTTTTTTTTGCTTAAAAAAAAAGATAAAGTTTATTTTTCTCTCCTATAAAAGTCAAGGTAGGTGGTTCGGGCAACTCAGAACTTTTTCTATCTTGTTACTCTGTCACTCTTTTTTAAAATAATCTTTATTACTCTGGTAAACCAAAAACACAAACCCACTGCCGTCAAGTTGATTCGGACTCACAGCGACCCTACAGGACAGAGTAGAACTGCCCCATAGGGTTTCCAAGGACCACCTGGTGGATTCAAACTGCTGGCCTTTTGGTTAGCAGCTGAGCTCTTAACCACTGCGCCACCAGGGTTCCTATGATTACTGTAGTAAAACACACTAATTCTTAAACATAGAGTGATTCAAGGGATTATTACTTTTGAAGTAGTTTTCCCAACAAAATTGAGTGTGTACAATGGCGTACCCTTAACTTTTTGGTTTTTGGTTTTTTGGGCTTTCAGTTTTTTTGTCTCCCTATTTTCTTCAGTTTTGAAAAGTCGTATTTTATTTCATTTTTACTTGACTCATTTTTAACTTCTACCCTGGGGCATGTTTTATAATGTACATAAAACACCGGGGGGAACGAGGGCATCTTCGTTTAGCCAGGACTGAGGTTCTGTTTACAGGGATGGAAAACGTGGCAATGGACGTCGATGTAATTGGTTTCATTGAATTGTACTAATGAAAACCGTGGAATTGGCAAATGTTATCCATATTTTTACAACATTAAAAAACACTGGTATAACATGACAGATGTGTAAATTAACTGACTGTACGTATTTTGGAAGTGTCTTTTGAAAACACCTGTACTGTCTGGGTAACTGAGAACAGGAGTTTGGAGCCCGCGCCTCTCTCGGGCTGAGTGAGTTGCTCTCAGGGCCTAGTCTTGCCGCAGGCACAATTCAAAGGCAGGCTTCATCAGTTACTACATGTTGTGACCTTCACTCCTGAACTTGATCCCGGCAGGGAATGGCCGCCCCAGGAATGCAGGGGTTATTTAGTGAGCACACCACCCAGCTCCGAGGGCTGGCAGCCAGCCCGACGCCAGACAGGGACACTCACAGTTCCGAGCGTGCTCCTTGGACAGCAGGTAGTTGGCGAGCGGCGGCGTGTAGGTCAAACACTGTATGGTGGCGTTCAGGAAGCAGGTGTTGCCAAGGTTGTGGAGCCCTGCTCCCACGCGGTAAACACGCTCCCACTTCAGAGACAGCCGCTCTGTGGGGAAGAGCACCTTCTGCGGGGCCGGGACACCATCGGTGTGGCTCTCGTACGCGTGCTCGCCACCTGAGAGAGAGGACGAGACAAGTCGGTGTGGGGCAGTGTCAGCTGGACCACGGAGAGAAACTGCTTCTACGTGCTCTCAGCACGCAGGCCCTGAGCGCACGGCACCGAAGGGCAGCTGGTGTTCCCATCCACTGCAAGTTCCTAGGAAGCTCAGGAGTAGACCAGGAACCCCATGGGACCTTCCGGGATTCAAGAGCACATCTATGGATGAGAGGCCAAGATCCAGAGAACAACCAGCTGAAGAAGCCAGGCCCTGGTAGCTGCATCACACCCTGCCCACTACGCGGCCCACCCCACCTGTCTTTCCTATTCCAAGGCTTGCGTCTGATCCTATTAAACCCGGGGCGGGGGGGAGGGGGCAGGGGGAGATCCAAGAAAACCCTCTGTACAGAGATCTCTTTCCTACCGGCCCTGAATCATTACTTGTGACTAAAACCCACCGACCCCTGTAAGATTCATAACCCTCTGACCGATCCTGCTTTGTTCCTAATAATCGGTCAGCACTTAATCCTCCACGCAGTCAGCAAGCTCCCTGGGAGGGCCTCTCTGCCAGAATCAGAGAGGCGTCTGTACCCTGTCTCCTGGCCTGGTGTTCATCACTATTCTTGTGGCGACTGGCTCCCTCCGTCTTGGGGTTCAGCAACACATATTTGCTCTTCAGGGACTCCAGCTGGTAGGAGAAGCTCTTGCTGGCAGGCTCAAACTCGATCTTCTGGAGCAGGACCTTCTTGGCAGAGGCGGCCAGCAGCTTCCCCAGCTCCCCATCGTCCGCCAAGTCCTTGCGGCCAGGCTTCAGCGCTTCCTTCAGCTTATCAACAATTGGCATGGTGCATCACTGTGGGGACGAGAAGGGACACGGAGCTTAGAAAACTAGGGCCCGGGAACAAAACATCACTCCTCTTAAACTGTAATTCTTTTTTCTCCTCTATTTTATTGTTGTACCTTAAGTGAAAGCTTACAATTCAACTTAGTCTCTCGTACAAAAATTTATACATATATTGTTATGTGACCCTAATTGCTCTCCCTCTACTGTGACAGCACACTCCTCCTTTCCACACCTGATTTCCCGTGTCCATTCAACCAGCTCCTGACCCTCTC